AGAAAGGACTATTTTTCATAGGATTTGGAGATGCTATCTCTATCTAATAAAGGGACAAAGAAAAAAAAAAAAAAAAAAGGTTCCCTTCTGCAAAGCCTTCTGATGAGGAAAGCCCCATGGGAGTCCATAGCCTTGGGCAAGGAAGGAAGGTTTGCATTTAAAAACACTGCCTAAGGAGGTAAAATCCACTGCTGAGCTGAATGGGCAGGTTTGGAAAGAGCAAGAATGTGCTTAATTGGTTCGTGCAGCTATCTTCAGAAACGGGAAACTTGACTGTGGTTTTTTTTTTGTTTTGTTTTGTTTTTTTCTTTAAACATAGACTGAGCTTCCATTTCAATCAGAAGTCTAGTCGGTGACTACTTTTCTCCTCAAAGCTCTGGCTAGCATATGTGATTGAGCTCTATTAGTAATTATAGTGTACATTTCAGAGTTCCTACTTTGTACAAGGGCAGTGTTGTGGGTCCTTTATATAAGCCCATGTCATATAATTTAATCATTATAGCAATCTTGTGACATCTATTACATGGATGAAGGAAACTAAGGTAAGGGGAATAGTATAAAATTTGGCTAAAGTACAATATCTGATTTTTGTTTGTTTTTGTTTTTGTTTTGTTTGAGACAGGGTCTCCCTGTAGCCCCAGCTGGCCTGGAACACTCTATGTAGACCAGGCTGGCCTTGAACTCACAGAGATCCGCCTGCCTTTGCTGGGTCTAAAGGCATGTGCCACCATACCTGACACAATGATTTTTATTTTTTATTTTTTTTAAATAAACAATTTATTGAGAATTTCATACATGCATATAAGGTGTTTTGATCAAATCCATGCCCACTCCCTCCCCTCCAACTCCTCCCGTATCTCCCCATCACTTTTTTTCTGATAACTTCATGTACTTGTTTTTCTTTAATTTTTTTTTTAAATGGGGCTATTGGCTACTCTAACATTCCCCCTTCTGAAGAGGTAACCCTAAAATCTTTTAAAGATTAGATCAAAGCTCCCAAATAGTTTTGACATTTTTGGCCTTTGGAACTGAGTGCGTGGCTAAGAGGCCCAAGGACATTGTGCGTTTTAGCCAAAGTAGCTACTTTTCTTTGGGGTCTTTTTTTTTTTTTGGTATTTTTGAGACAGGGTCTCCCTGTAGCCCTGCCTGTCCTGGAACTCACTATATAGACCAGGCTGGACTTGAACTCACAGAGATCCACCTGCCTCTGCCTCCCGAGCACTGGGATTAAAGGCATGCACCACCATGCCTGGCCTTCTTTGGGGTCTTTTTACCATAGCTGCCTAGCCAATTCCTACCTCCGTGTTTTTTTTTTGTTTGTTTGTTTTTGTTTGTTTGTTTGTTATTTTGAGACAGGGTCTCCTTGTAGCCCCAGCTGTCCTGGAACTCGATATGTAGATCAGGCTGGCCTTGAACTCACAAAGATCTACCTGCCTCTGCCTCCCAAGTGCTGGGATTAAACGCATGTCGAACCACACCTGGCTTCCTACCTCTTATTCTTATCACACCATCCTCTGAAGAGGTTACCCAAATTGCCAATAGGGAATTGGGCACAGACCCCTCTGGCTTCTTCCATACTGAACAGGGTCATGGGGTGAGGCAATTGGAGTACCCCTTCAGTGGGTCTATCTAAAAGACTTCCAAATTACATAACTCTTATCTCAAGGAAGAAAAGAAAGTCTTTGAATAGTGAATAGGAGATGTGAAGGAGAAGTGAAGGCAAGAGTAATTAGCATTACAAGTTCTAGACAGGGAACTAGAAAAAAGTCAGAACAGGGCAACTTTCAAATGTTCTTTTGAGAGTCCACTGGAATTTCTTAACAAGGGCTTCCAAAAACATCCCTCTATTGGGTTACTCCTCATTTTTCTTTTGTCTTCCAAGGCTGGACTCTAGAGTGATGGATTCAGGATTTGCTTTCAGGTATTTTGATAGCTGTTGGAGTAGTTAGAATCAGTGTCAGTTTCCTCTCAAAGGCTTCACCACATGGAAAAATAATTTTTTTTTTTATGTGTATGAGTGTATTGCCTGCATGTAAGTACACCTGTGTTGTGCAATGCCCGCAGAGGTCAGAAGAGGGTGCTGGATCCCCTGGAACTGGAGTTATGGACTGTTGTTAGCTGCCATGTGGGTGCTGAGAATAGAACCCAGGTCCTCTGGAAGAGCAGCCAGTGGTCTTAAGTGCTGAGCCATCTCTCCAGCCCCCAATGTCTGATTTTTAAAAAGTCATACTTTTCTTACTACACTGCCTCTTTTAGATGATGTTACTGCTAATATTATTACTATTAATGTTAGTTAATATTTATTGTGCTTTGGTACAGTATTAAGTACTTTAAATGAAATATATTGTTTAGTCTTTGTAGGTGTTATCTTCAATTTATCACTGGGAAAACTAACTTGATGTCCTCATGTAACTAGTAAAAGATGAAACCAGCATTTCTACAGTTTTCTTGATGCTAGAGATCAAATCTATAAACTATATTTTCTACAGCTTGTAGCTCTAGAGCAAAGCTTATCTGACAGAGTTCCAAGTCAGCTGTTGTCACTGTACTTCTTTGTTAAGCAGTTACCCACATGGCAAAATGGGAAAGTCTGTAGCAGTTTCCTTCCAAAACTTTTAGTGCTTCCCTTGATCTTAAGGTTGGGGGAAAGAAAGAGCAATTCACTTCACAGTGGGATTAGGCGGACTCATTTTCAAATACATGATTAAAACTGTGCTGGTGCTAATAAGAGTTGCAGCTAAATGGATGGTTTCAAAGTAACATTGACAAAATTCTCTCTTCTCCTCTCTCTCTGTCTCTCTCTCTCTGTCTCTCTCTGTCTCTCTCTCTCTCTGTCTCTCTCTCTCTCTCTCTCTCTCTCTCCCTCCCCTCTCTTGGCTCAGGGACTACTTTAATTCACCAAAAGCTTCCTGCTCTTTTAAAATGTAAGGATCCAAAAGTTACCTTTCTTTTTGGAGAGCTTCACCCTTAGTTCTAGAATTGTGTCCTTTTTAAGTAAGTGCAGCATGACAGGCCTCCAGACTAGCATAGGACTTATTTTCCTACTTTAGTAAACTTAGATTTGGTTAACTCTTATTAGTGAACAATATTATGATCAAGGGGACGATTATATGGTTTATAAAGTGAGTCACTAATGTTTATACCCTAATGTCAAGTCCTGAGCCACCATGGCCTGCTTCCTCCTGGACATGGTATGTAGCTGTTTGTCATGTTTCTCTCTTAGTAACATATGGAAATCCTAACTGTATTTCTAGCCTCTGAGTGCCTATGGCTTCATTGTTTTAAAAAAAGGGGTTGGAAGCTAGGAGGTGGCACATGCCTTTAGTCCCAGCACTTGGAAGGCAGAGGCAGGTGGATCTCTGTGAGTTTGAGGCCAGCTGGTCTACATAGTGAGTTTCAGGCCAGTCAGGTCTATATAGTGAGATCCTGTCTCAAAAAGGAAACAAACAAACAAACAAACAAAAAAACAAAAACAAAAAACCAAAAAACAAAGACAGGGCTCCAGAGATAACTCAGAGGGAAGAACACTGGTTGTTCTTGCAGAGAATCAGGATTTCACTAAGAACTGTCATTTTAACTCCAGTTCCAGGGAAATCTGACAATCTGACACTGTGCTCTGACCTCTGCAAGCATTGTACGACGCAGGTGCACTTACGCACATGCAGGGAATACACTTGCACACATAATATAAAAACAATAAATTAAATATTTAAAAATAAAATACAGAATTATTAAATAAGGAAAAAAGGGTATGTGTTCAAATCTTCCTTTCTATTGAAAGAAGCAAAATTCTATGGGGAGATAAAATGTATATGAATAAAGGTATGGGTTAATTTGGAAAATCTTGTCTGAGACAAGTGTGGTGGTTCATACTTGTAATCCCAGCACTTGGGAGACTGAGGCAGGAGGATCATCATGAGTTTGAGGTCAGCCTGGATTACATAGTGAGTTCCAGGTCAGTTTGAGATCCTGCTTCAAAAAAATAAAAATAAAACAGGGCCAGTCAGATGGCTCAATGGATACAAAAAGCTTGTCACCAAGCCGAATGACCTGAGTTCAATCCCCAGGACCCACGTGATGGAAGGAGAAACCAATTTCCAGAGGTTGTTGTCTGGCCTTTGCACATATGCTGTGGCATGTTCATCGACACACACACACAGCAAGTAATTGTAATAAAAATTTAAAAAGCAAAACAAAACAATACAACTCATAAAACAAGCAAATAAAAAAACCTTGTCTGCAGGTTTACTTTAAGCAATTTCATTCAGATGAAGGTGATTACAAATCACCTTCTTTTTAATGCTTGGCATTAAAAGTTTTCACAGTCCTCTATTATTTATTGGCTGTTCACTAATTCATTTACTCCTTATTCATTAACTAGCAACAAATCCCTATTTTGGAGATGAAAAGGATATGTGAAGAACAGAAGTATTCTGACAGTAAGAATTTGTGGTAGAGGTGAAAAGAACACCATTTAGATAACTTTTTTTTTTTTTTTTTTTTAAGATAGGGTCTCATTCTGTAACTCAGATTGGACCACCAGGCTGGCCTCGAACTCACAGAGATCCTCCTGCCTCTGCCTCCCAAGTGCTGGGATTAAGGGCGTGCTCCACCACGCCCAGCAAATCCAATTATTTTCTGAGGGCACAGATATAATGAAAAAGTATACAGCACAAGCGATCCAATTTTTCAAAAGGAAATGCTAGTCTATATTACTGAATATGTGCACTGGCATAAATCTTTGAAATCATGTGAATGTTTCCAGATAGAACAAAAATTTATCTTCTTAATGCATTATAGTCCTTTGAAAAATGTAATTAGGCGAGTACTGTATAATTTTAAAGCAAGCCCCCCGCCGCCCTCGCCCGCCCATTCCGAGATACTGAGCTATTTTACCTAAGGTTAGGATGGAACCCTTGGGGCGGGTGCTGAGAACTCGATCCCGGAACGTTTGTGTTGCAGTACCCGGCTTCTAGACCGTGCTCTTTTGCGAAGGGACCATTCCTGCCTAGTGCCTGTTGGTAGGCGCCTGCTTGGTGTCGGGTCCCGGGCTGTTGTAGGAGGCTGTGGCTGAAGCAGGGGTTAGGGACAGACGGTGTAGCAGAGGAGACACCATGGACGATCAGGGCTGCCCTAGGTGCAAGACCACCAAATACCGGAACCCTTCCTTGAAGCTGATGGTGAACGTGTGCGGGCACACTCTGTGAGTCTGGCGACTGTGGATTCCTGGGGGAGACGCGGGTGGGAGGAAGTCTCTGGGGGATGCTTGTCTGCCGCTCGGGAGATTAAAAGGGTGGTTAGTTTCAACATTGAGGGCAAAAAATGGGAAACCGGAGCGTCGTTCCTTTGAATGGTCCGTAGTGGCTTGCCCTAGGCGTCTTTGGCCTGCTTTGAACTGTTGAGTTTCGATTTTGGCACGTAGCAGTTTGTCAGGTTGTCCCTCACTTACCTTTCCAGTCAGTGAAACTCTGGACTGTATTACCAGGCTTTGTGTAGTCAGGTAGACCCCAGACAGATCGCTGGTTAAAAGTATGGGAGATTAAAGTGTTTATTTTCATACGCAATGTTTTTTAAGTGCGATGAAAACTTAAAATTACTGAGTGTAACTGTTGCTATTGATCGAATGGATTGATCTGAAAACCTGTGTATGTCCTTGAAGCCTGGTGATTTCATTTGAACTCTGATCATGTATAGGAAGAAAATCCAGACTCTAGGCAGTTATTTTGGAGATAAAAATAATGGCTTGCATTTATTAAGTGCACATTATATTCCAGGCACTGTAGCATCTTGCCATGAGCAATCTCACTTTATTCTCACAACAGCCCCATGAAACAGTTGTGACTATCATTCCCACATCACAGGAAGTGTTCCTAAGACTGTGCATGTAAATCCTGAGAGTCTGGAGCCCAGGAAGTGGTTCTAGGAAGTATGTGCATTTTGTTACGAGGTGGTGGAAGGAGAGTGAGTTTGTGTATTCTGAAGTGTTAGTGCAGAAACTGGTCAAAGAATTTGTCAGATTTTTATGGTCAAGTAATTCAGTAAAGATTTGGTTTGGGATTAAGGTGCCATAAAATTGTGATCACGTATATCCCTATAGTTTCTTTAAGTTTCTTATTAAACAAAATGGATAAATTGTAATGTGGTAGACAATGTTGTTAGGCAGGCATACATTGCACAATTATTTGTAGTTATAATTGTCATAATGGCATTATTAATTTACTTAATTGGTCCCTTTTCCTAATTAACCTTTATTTTGTTTTGTACAGTGTAGCTTTAGCTAAGTTTTAGGAGTAAAATTACAGTAAAGGTAATCAACTGGAATGCATGGAAAATGGAAATGAGGAAACATTGTAGATAGATGATTAGGTGTTTTTTTGAGACTAGGTCTCAATAGGTAGGTAGCCCAGGCTGTCCCTTTAAATTTAAATTCTTTTGCTTCCTCTTCCAAGTGTTGGAATTTCAGGTATATGTCACCATGTCTGGCAGGCTGTTAGGTTTTCAAAGAAATTTTGTTCTGTTTCTCTGCATTTTCTTTTTCTTTTTTTTTTGGTTATTGTTATTATTATTATTATTATTAATTTTTTTGCCTGCCTTCCTTCTTCTCCCTCCCTCCCTCCCTTCCTTCCTTCTTTCCTTTTTTTTTTTTTTTATTCCGGGTGTCCCTGTAACCCCAGCTGGCAGAGATCAGTCTGTTTCTGCCTCCCAAATTCTGAGATTAAAGTTATGCATGACTCTCTTTTTTTTCCTTATCTTTAAAATAAAAAGTTTTATTTTTTGACAGTTTCATGCATATATAAAATGTATTGTGATTGTATCCATTCCTCAATAACCTTCTTATCCCCTTCCTTTCCCTCTGAACCTCTTCTTCCCTACTACTCCAGTGGCTGAATCATTGAAAAATGATAACCCCTCTCACTGCAACCATTAACAGTAACTCAGCAGTGAGAACTCCTGGGCATCTCTATCTGTGATGCAGTGTTGAAGGGCCCAATCTTGTGCAGGCATCCATTACTGCTGTGTGTTTATAATTGCAATGGTTGTTTCATACCTGGATGGCAGTATTTCGTGGTACTCTGTCTCATCTGCTGGCTCTTATATTCTTTCTGTCCTCCTATCTGTAATGTTCCCTGTGCCTTGCAGCGCGTTTGTACGTGTGTGTGTGTGTGTGTGTGTGTGTGTGTGTGTGTGTGTGTTTGATAGAGCTGTACTGTTGAGGGCCAAGAGTTCAACAGTCACTTAAAAATACTTTATTATTTTTGTTTTGGTTTTATGTGTGTGTGGTAGGAGTGTTTGGCCTGCATGTACATAAATACACTTTATGTGTGCAGTACCCATGGAGGCCAGAAGAAGGTGTTGGACCTGGAGTTGGAATTAAGGTTGTTTGTTAGCTGCTATGTGGGTGCTGGTAACTGAACCCAGCTCCTCTTAAAGTGCTCTTAACCACTGAGCCATCTCCAGCTCAGCAGCCACTTTTCCTCAGCATTTTGACCACTGGAACAAACTATTGACAATAATAATCTCTCAATCACTTGATCTCTCTCTCTCTCTCTCTCTCTCTCTCTCCCTCTCTCTCCCTCTCTCCCCCTCTCTCTCCCTCTCTCTCTCTCCTCCAGCAAACACCTAAATGAATTGGCAACATACACACAGGAGGTTGGATTTCATGTGTTTTATTCAATTTCAGAATGAACATCATCTGAATTCCAGAAAAGGCCATTTTTCCCTCCTAATTTTAATTTTCAAGTAACTGTGTGTGTGTGTGTGTGTGTGTGTGTGTGTGTATGTGTGTGTATGTGTGTCTTTGTTGATATAGATGTGTGTTTTGTGTCACACTCCTACTCCATTCCCTCTCTCCCATTCTGGAGATTGAACCTAAGGCCACCTGAGCCTAAGGCCACCTTGTATGCTATGCAAGTGCTTTACCCCTGAGGTTACATTCCAGCTCTCTTCTCACTTACCATGTTGGGAGATGCTAGCACTAAGTTGCCCAGGCTGACCTGTAATTCTGTAGCATAGGCAGACCTTGGATTTGTGATCTTCCTACCCTAATCTCCTGAGTAGCTGGGATTGAAGGTTTTTACTACTAGGTATGGTTTATGTAGTTTGGTTTTTTGTTTTGTTTTGTTTTGTTTGAGATAGGGTCTCCCTGTAGCCCGGCTGGCCTTGAACTCTCACTATGTAGACCAGGCTGGCCTTGAATTCACAGAGATCCATCTGCCTCTGAACTACAGTTGTGCGCCACCACACCTGGCTAGTTTATGTAGTTTTTAATACTTTATTTTCTGTCTTAGCCATTCATGGCAAAACTGTCTCTGGAGACTTTATGTACATCTGCTTTTACTAAATTTACTTTTTCCCCCCAGTTCAAAATATATATAAGATGTAAAGTAGCAGATTAACAAAACCATATACCTATGATTCTGATACATAAAAGTCAGTATTTTACCATGCTTGCTTGAGATCTTTCTTTTCTTTCCTGTTTTTTTTCACCTATTTCCCTGTCTTATTTCCTATAATACTGGGCAGTTTGTGCTGGAGTTGTGCTGTAGAGTCTGAGTTTTGCTTATTGAATCTCTTCGGCATCATTTACTGTGTTTCTTTGTCATTTATATTATATTTAAATTGTTAGTTATGTTGAAGAGTTTTTATCAGATTGATGTTTAATGAATATATCTGTTGGTAAGTGATGTTAATTAATATATAGTATGTTTGTGCAGATTAGGAAATATCACCCACTTTGGTCAGAAAAACTTTGGAGGCACTCATCCCAGGAGGTTGTTTTGTAGTTACTGTTTCTCATTTTTTCCTAGGGGTCACATTTTTCTGTTGATTTTATTTTTCACGTATCTTGGTTGATTTTTTTTTTTTTTTCTTGTAGATTGTTCAACAATAGATGGTCCCCAGTTTACCTGGGTTTGACTTAGGACTTTTTGACGTCTTGACAGTATAAAACCCAATAGAAACTACTTTGAGTTTTGGCCTTTTCTCAGACTAGTGATGCACAGTGTGATTCTTTCTTGAGGCATTGGGCAGCAGCTTCCAGTCAGTGGCAAAGTGCTTTACTCCACTGTGTCCCACGTTGCTATACTGTGATGTAGACTAGCCAGGTATATTTAAAAAGTGCATTTTGGCTTCATCTTATGATGGGTTTATCAAGACATTACCTCACTGGAAGTTGAGGAGCATGTTTACTGCCTGGTGATGCTGCACTTGTATAAGGTTTGGTTTTACTCTTTGCTAGGGTAAATTGGTGGAGAACCCATTGTGTTTCTTTTAATGTTACCCAGCCTCCAAGTTTTTTAGCCAAAATTTGTTGCAAAATTTGTTGGGGATTGATTTTTAGACCTTTTAAAAAAGTTTTTAAAAAGTTTTATGTGAATGAGTGTACTGCCTGCATGTATGTGAGTGCACCCGTGTTGTACGTGCAATGCTGCGGAGGTCAGAAGAGGGCTTTGGTCAGAAGAGGGCTTTGGATTCCTCTGGAACTGGAGTTAAGAACGGTTTGTAGCTGCCATGTGGGTGCTGGGAATCGAACCCAGGTCCTCTGCAAGAGCAGTCAGTGGTCTTAACCTCTGAGCCATCTCTCCAGCCCCGATTTTAGACTTTTTAGGGTGAATCTAGCAAGTCTTATTCTAGGATGTAGAACTTACTCTTGGTTTTTCACTTGGCTATCTGAGGTGTTAATGATATGTGAATATTGTTTCTTTGCTCTGACTGGTAGAACACCAGTTTGTATATAGTACTCTTTAACTTCTAGTATCTCTTCCTCACTTGGATATTTTCTTTTAAGCCTTGATTAGCTTTGCTCTGCACAAATGCAGCCTATTCCTTGGCTAGGGTCTTATGGAGGATCCCCTCACATTTTCTACTCACCTCTGCCTTGAATATTTCAGCCACAGCAATTTCCCTGTATCTCGATCTCTGCCATGATGTGCCTTTCTTAAAGTCTTGCTTGTTTGCTGAACATGATCATAGAAATTGTCCCTATAGAAAGCAGAGAAGATTGTAAGGCTTACCTTGGGAGTTGTTTTTTCTTTTCCTTCCTTGCATGCTGGAGATCAAACTTAAGGCCGTAGGCCCGTCTCTGCCATTGGGCTGTACACTCAGTCTTTGAGTTCTCCATCTCTCAGGGATGTCTTCTTGTCAAATGCCTATAGATAGCTGTCATATGTATTATTTGATTTTTGGCTGCTCCTAGTGGAATGT